TAACCTCTAAGTCAATATTGCACTTTGACCCCTCTATGCATAATTAGTTATCGGATAAATATAGCCATCAATCCGACTACTTAATTAATATATTTATTTTGGTACCTTTGATTATTTCTGGCTCGATCACAATAAAACATTTGTTTGACAAAAATAATAATTTAAATAAATAAATATATAATAAATCATTTTGTCTAAAAACACACGAAGGCCTTCGAATTTACTTTGTGATCAACCATAATCAATACAAAATAAATACAAGTAGCAATGATGCAAATATTGAAAATATAACCCTCTAACTATTAATTACATAACTACCCAAAGTGTCGGTCTAAGGATCCCGAAGAATCCGCCGAACAAATCAAAGTAATTATTAATTAATAAAAGAGTCTATACTTTTCTCATGCTTAAGAGTCAAATGCCATGACGGTGATAGGGAGTAATTGCATACGACGGCTCTCGCAATATATCTCAACCTAACGCGGATCCAGTTCAAGTCTTAATTAATTATGAGTCCATCCATAATTACCGACTATGAACAATTTATAATTACTATTTATATATCATGCATTGATTGTCATCACATACATATATATAAATATTTCTTGTAATTAACTGGACACTATCAATTTCATAGTGAATCGAAACATAATACATTGAATTCACCAATTATATAAATCATAAATATTTCAGATATGTCAGGAACATATGTCAATACAATCCAGATAGGAATTTGCTATGCCAGGGCATATAAATCCCAACAGTTTTGAGGTGAGGAAGATTGTAGACATCAATGGAGCAAGTCCAAAGTCCAAATATTTATTCTAATTTTTCAATTCTTTATGCAAGCCCATAACATCTCAATGTCATTAGTTGATAGTTTTTTCATCCTACTAATGTAACTGGAACTCTAAAACCATCTCCCTCACTAGAACTCCTACAGAAGAAGTAAACTTAGATCCATTCTCTCCAATTGGTTGTCCCATCTCGCTAATGTAAGTGAAAGGGTCGTTCATTGGTAAAAATAAATAAATAAACAAATTTAAATTTGCCTTGCCCCTCCCTTTTTGCTTTCAAGGATTCCTTTTGTTTTCATCAGGTGAAGGGCTACCTCTATTTACAGCGAAACACTATGAATTCCCTCAATAGGGATAGGCAGTGTCAAGATTAAATTTTTCCTAAACACACACTACAGACCTTTTCAAATCAAAATAAATAAATAAATTTAAATTTGCCTTGCCCCCTCCCCTTTTGCTTCCAAGGATTCGTTGTGTTTTCATCAGGTGAAGGGCTACCTCTATTTACAGCGAAACACTACCAATTCCTCAATAGGGATAGGCGGTGTCAAGATTAAACTTTTCCTAAACACACACTACAGACCTTTTTCAAATCAAAATACAACCACAAAATCAATGTCATTGATTACTAGATAATTGTATCACTATGTGTACAACAAACATATTTACAAGATGAGGGAGATTATGAGATGAATTGAGAGTTAAATAGGACAATATAAATTGAAAATAAAAAATTGAGAGTTAAATAGAGAGAGAGCAGAGTGTTGAATATTTTTCACACACATAATTTATATGTGTAAGTCTTGAAAATGGGGGAGAGAAGTACAAGGGAATGTTGGAATACTAAATTAAGACTTAATACATTTTTTTTTTTGATAAATTAATACTAAATATATATTTTAAAAAAGCCTCATTTATAGAGTTTGCTAGCTTTTGCGTCAACCCTATCATGTGCGTAGATGCCTAAAGATGCATTACACAAAGGTATACTCTACATGCCATTTGAGAAAGAGGCAATAATCTTGAATTATTCTTGATCCAAATTGACTTATAATAATTAATTATAAGTAAAAACTAATTGGACTACCTATGTGTTGGTGGCTTTGAATTTTAACTCCTAAATTCCTAGTTAAAGATTTAAGACTATGGAATGAAGAAATAGAATATGTGTGTGTATATATATATATACGTAATGTGTATAAAATTCCTAGTTAAAGATTTACACACATAATACTAGATCAAACTTAGAAGAAGTAATTTAAATATATAGAGAATGCTATCGTTAACAAAGGTTGGAATTTGAATAACTGACCAACAAATGATTTTCACACATCACCCATTATGACAAAGAAATATTAATTAATGTAAAACACCCATCTATTACGTTGGATTATGATATATAAACGTATTTAAATGAACACTTGCTGCTCATTGTTATACTTGGAGTCTAGGAGATAAAAGAAAGCTTTTTAAGATTATCCTTTCCAACTTTTCTTTTTCTTATACACTTTGTTTTCTTCTGCTGAACAAAGTATGCCTCCAAGATTACATGTTTTTGAGTCATTTTGACAAATCCATTAAGAGAATAATAATCCACATCAATGGAGCACTGTTTATTTAATCTGCTTTAAAACTGAGGCCCACATTCCACAATGATGAGCAGCAAATTAAGATAAATGGGATGATGAAACTTATATGCTACACACTCAGTCCAGCAGGAAATGATTGAACTATTGCCTACTTTGGGGTCCAGGGCAGGCTAAGAGGTCTCCATCTAATTTAATTTTTTTTAAATTGCTAAAATTTGAAGAAATTTTAGTATAGTATTGGTTATCTAATTGTAAATGATTTTGCGACCTTAAATAAATAAAATCTAAAGGTCCTAATCCACCAAAATCCAAACTTGATCTCAAATTTTTTATAAGCATTTGATATCAAATTTTTTGGATTTCCATATTGAGACTAATCCTAAAAGGCTCGTAAACTAATCCAACAAGTCCGCCATCAAATACTTATATATGTTTTTTTCTTTTTTTCAAAAGCAGAGAAGCATAGATTAATGACGAAAAGAAATAAAATCCATTGCAATATGTTCAATATATACACACAGATACATATACATATGTGTGTGTTAGCGAGTGTGTGTGAAAAAGGAATCAAGAGGAAGGAATTAAACAGAAAAAGTTACGGTTTGCTTACTGATCAGACAAAGGAATCTGAGCCGTGTGTTATCATTTAGGGCTTAAGACTTGCTTTGATTGATGGCGAACTGGAGGAGGTTTGATCGAAAGTGTATCAGTCTTTAATGAACAATACCACAAATATAAATATGCATATATTTCAGATTCATCAACACAAACAGTACCTATTTCAAGAGTTAGAACGTGACCGGAGGCTGAGATGACGGTAAAAAACCCCAATTGTTTCCAACCGTCCAGTTATTGCCGCTACACCAGAAATTAGGAAGAGAAAGGTTAGGATTTCATCAAAGAGGGAAAGAGGAACCATTGAGCCTGGGTATTTGATTTCCCTTCAGCAAATCGAAGATTGTTCGTGCCATGGCAGATTGTATCTGTATCGCAGGAAACAAGTGAGGGAGAAAGAGTCGTGAGAGAGGGCTACACTGAATGGATTATGAAAGGCATTAGGGCTTGAAATTAGGCAAGTGTAGAAAAGGGCATTTTAGGCAACACATAAAATAGGAAGAAGGGTATCTTAGGCAACAGAAATATCAAACAGTATTTTTTCATGTGCCACCTCAGCTTTTGGGTCAAACCCATTTTAAAGAAACTATGGGACTTTTACTCAGTCTCTTAGTAAATATGGTACCCTAAGTCCATTTATATGTAATAATCCCTTTTTTATTTTATTTTATTATTTCACCTTTTGCTTTGTGGTGATGACGTATGTGGTTCTTTGTTGGATTTGTTGGACTTTATCTCTGAATTTCTAATTTTTTTTGTTTTAACTCTAAAAATAATTAGTAGACTCCGAAAACGAGTTCGAAGTCGAGGGCATTTCTAGAAATTTATTCTAATAATTGTAAAAGGAAATATTCTCTCTGTTTTTTCCCCTTTTTTTTTTATTTTTTTATTTCCTGACAAAGTATTAAAAAAAATTCAAAAGCTATCTTTCTTGAGAAAAATAACTATTTATGGTTGGTTGGACATGTCACATGCAAAAGTAAAAACTTTACTGGCCTACCACTATTTATTGATAACCCTCACCATCTCTTTTTAGAAAATTAAAAAGAAGGCACTGATAATATGAATTTATTGTACATAAACTGCTAGTGAATATTATGGTGGTCTTAATTCTTGATGGTCAGTTCATTTTTATGGCGGCAATTATTGACATTATTATTTTAAATTCTCGTGATGGTGGACATGTTGTGTGGTAGTTAGATCTGAACAATAACGAGCTATATAACACATATTAAAGCCACTGCCAAATAACATCATCTAGCTTCAACCCATCCAGGTATCCATCATCAGTTTCTTCTGCATCATTATTTTTGCTTATAATTAGGGTTTAATTAGACATTTTGCACATTTTCCGGTCACTACGGGTATTTTGAACATTTTGCCAATAAAGCTCTAAAACTCATTCTCCTAGGTCAAGCAAAACTCCTTTTCCAAACCTCAAGGAGGGTTCCAGTGAGTGAAAAATTCCCCAAAGCTCAAGATGGTGATTTGAGTTTTTTTTTTTAATGTTTCTTGGTGAGGTAGATGGTGACTAAGTTGATCCCGAAATTAACGAACTTATATAAGTCCCGCCCCATAATTGACTTGTTGTAAATTAAAGCATCCTTTAACTATTAATTATTACGATTATGCCCTCCAACTTTTATAATTGACTTCTTGTAAAATGTAACTTTGAACTATTAATTATTACACCCAAGTCCTTTGATGTATTAAAAGAGGTATTGGTTCCGTCTCAAATTAAATTTCCTATTTAAGACAAAAGGAGTACAATGCAGTTTTGGGACCAACACCAATCACATTTGAAAAGAAAAAAGAAAAATATAATTATATAATACCCTAGACTAAGTTGACATATGGTACCAGGTGTCAATATATAAACATGTATAATATATCTTCCGGAGCTGCCACGTGTAATTTTTGTTTGCCTAAAGTTAATACTGTACAGTTATTCAAAATGGTGGTAGGTGGCTCTGTATGTATATATATATACACGTACCTATGTAAAACAGTCTTCACTCACATGTACACACGTACACGCACTAAGAGAGAGATGGGGAAGCTACCTATGATTTTGATGGTGTTCTCAGTGGTGATAGCCATATTGCCGGTAGCTCAGGGCATTGCTGAAGACCCTGAAGCAGTGGAAGCGTGGTTCGAAAAACTAGGCCAAGCCAAGGAAAATGTCACAAAGCTTCACTTCTATTTTCATGACATAGTCACAGGCAAGAACCCAACTGCTATTCAGGTGGCCCAATCCAACCTAACTGCTAAGTCACCCACTTTATTCGGCCTAGTTCGGATGTTTGACAATATATTGACGGAAGGACCCGAACCCACTTCCCAGACGGTGGGTCGAGCCCAGGGGTTCTATGGTTCAGCCGGATTGGAGGAATTGAGTATGCTCATGACCATGAACTTGGTGTTCACGCAGGGAAATTACAATGGCAGCACCCTGAGTTTTCTGGCCCGGAACCCCGCATTGAATCCGCACCGTGAGATGCCCGTCGTTGGTGGGTCCGGTGTTTTCCGACTGGCGCGTGGAATCGCTACGGCAACCACATATTCTATGGATTTTACGACCGGAAATGCAATTGTTGAGTACAATGTCATGGTCATGCATTATTGAGTTTTTGTCAAATAGTTGCTACGTATTTCTTTTCTTTGGAATTTGGCAAGTCTAGTTTGTACTGCTATGAAATGCTATATTGTCACTGTTAGACTTTGTCAATTTTCTTTTGGAGTTTGGTTACCTAATTTTTTATTTTCAATTCTCATTGATATCAGAAAGATTCCTTCACATTCACATGCAATAATCCAAATCCTCTTCTCAGCAATTTTTTTTGTCTAATCCTATTCAATAATCCTATTGCTGAGAAGAGGTTTTGGATTATTGCATGTGAATGTGAAGGAATCTTTCTGATATCAAAATTATTGTAATATTAACCAAAATATATATTTGAAAGGGATTCACAATATTACAATAATTGAGTGTATAAAATTATAGCAATAAATTTAAAAAAGAGAAGAGAGAGAAAAAAAAAAAAAAAAGTTTACATGACATCAATCATCATGCGTAAGTGCAAATTAAGTAATAGGAAGGAAAAAAAAAAAAGAAGGGAACAAATATTTAAGATAGAGTTTAATTGAAGAAGAAAATTTTACCTTTTTTAAAAAAAAGGAAATTAAAAATTTTGAAAAATGAAAGAGAAAAGAGAGAAAAAGTTGTGAAATAATTATAGAAATTAAAAGTTAAGAGATAATTAAGTTTAAGTCCCTGTATGGTCATGGACTCATGTTCGCCACCAAGGCGTCAAGAAGAAAACAATAAGCAGAGATGCTCGCCACCGAGGGCCTTAAGCAGTGATGCTTTTCACTTCTACTCGTTAGCTGGGGCGGAATTAGGGGTGAGCGAGGGGCCATGAAATTCTTCTTATATCCTTAACAAAAATGTTAGGAATATTGTAGGCTCAAAGGGGATATGGTAGGAATGTTGTATAGACTCAAGGGGGTATTGTTGTAAAAGGGAAGTCAGTCCATCTCGACTCTCGAGGGCCGGCCAGAACTTGTCCTGTGACTCGTACATAAACAAAAAAACAGAGAGTTGTGGTGGGTGGGGTGGGAGTCCCGAATTCTCTGCAATAAAAAGTTTAGATTCTCTGCAACGAATACAGTGTACGTACATGCGATGTGAGCCGTACGATATATGCCTACACTAATATCGAATCCCAACAAGTAGGTTAATTAACATTTGGTGCTGAAGATGATATACGTGTGTATATAAGCCTGTGCAATCTGCTCTTATTGTTACACAGAGAGATGGGGAGGCTGTCTATAGTTCTAATGCTGTGCTCAGCTGTCATAGCCATTCCAGTGGTTGAAAAGGGGCCCAAAACAGTGGAAGTGTGGTTCAATGAATTGGGCCACGCCAAGGAAAAGGTAACCAAGCTTCACTTCTACTTTCATGATGTAGTGAGTGGGAAGAACCCAACTGCTTACACTGTGGCCAAGTCCAACATAACTGACATATCCCCCACCGGTTTCGGGCTAGTTAGGATGATGGATAACGCATTGACGGCCGGGCCCAAACCCACTTCTAAGATAGTGGGTAGAGCCCAGGGGATTTATGGTTCAGCCGATTTGGAGGGAATTGGTTTGCTTTTGACCATGAACTTTGTGTTCACGGATGGAACGTACAATGGTAGCACTCTCAGTCTTCTGGGACGAAATCCGATACTTGATCGGTACCGGGAGATGCCTATCATTGGTGGATCTGATGTTTTTCGACTGGCACGTGGAATCGCAACGGCAAAGACATTTACTTTCAATGTTACTTCTGAAAATGCCATTGTTGAGTATCATGTCATAGTCGCTCATTATTAATTTACTCAAGTCATGGTGGGATAATGAGGCATACCGTTCTTTGTTGGTTTTGTTGGCATTGTCTGCTTTGTGGTAATGAGGCATGACGTTGTTTGTTGGAATTTTATCTCTGTATTTTCAATTTTTATTTAGAATTAAGAAGGTTGAAAATAAAATGATTGTTTGTACCCTTAAATGGTTGAATGTAATTCCTAATTTAAAACTTCTTAAACAGATGAAATAAATTAAATAGATCACTCAATTTTAATTTTAATATAAATAATGGAGATACCACTAGAAGGTTGCTAACAAGTTAACAACTCACTAAATTTTGGTGATGGGTCTCTTCATTGAATAATTTGAATGGCAATGTGGCTTAGTCCATATCATATAACTCCAAGGGTGCTTTCACCATCTTGCTAGCAGCAAACTATTGATCAAATCACATTGTTCCAATTAGAATTATTGATCAAATCACATTGTTTCACTGTATTATATTTGCTGTGGTAGCCCACACAAAAAGAAGATTTATACGAAAATTTCATATTATATTGTTTGTCAGTTATTTAGCAAGACAACCAATGTTTTAACATGTCCCATTAGTTGTCCTTATATTTTTATTTATTTATTTTTGTTAATACCTCAATTTGAATCTTCAATCTCGGGTTGTCCCACATTTTTCATTCCAATGGGTTATGATTGTCTTTTTCTTAGCAGAAGAAGAAGTTGGAATTAGCTTTAGGTGCATTGGATTGGATGTAAGCCAATTACAGGATGATAGGCAACCCAAAAACTGAATAAACATGGTTTATGATATCATATGCAAATCAAACTTATCAAAAAACATATATGTATCATATGCAAATCAAAAACTAATAAAGCTGACACGTTTAGTTGCATGCCATCCTCTGGCCGAGAGCAAGACCATGGGTAATAATTTCTCCCTCCAAATACCACAAAAGTAATTCACCCACAAAAGTGTTTTCACTTTATATTCTCTCCTTCAACTATATAATAACTTTTCTTCAATCCTCGACAGAATTATATATAAAGTGAAACAAATTCAGGTTCTTATGAAGAACTAATTTTTTTTGGATTGTGGTCATTTGTGACAACTAAACTCCAATACTTGCTATCTGCTCTCGGTATCCACCAAAATGCTTATCTGGTAACACCAAAGAATCCTAAAAGTTTAACTTAACCTTCAAAATTATTTTGCACAAAATGGTTGCTTTAACCTCAAAACCACTTGTCAGACCAAGAAATGCTTTCAACACCATCAGATATACCAAACAAAGCTTTCAGATTTCAAAGTTTATGATATGCATGCCACAGCAGATATATAGGACTATGTTACCACTATAAGTTACCATCAAACTGTAACCATGTAAACATGCCCACATTTACCATGGAGGCTTCTTTCTTAGAAATAATTGACTGAGAGTTTCACAGCTTTCACAGCAGCAAACTTGAAACATTTTTTCTTCAATATAACAGCAAACTGACCATGCCTTAACATCAACAAACGATAAAAAGACTTGACACCACAAGTTCCCCTTTGCAATTTTCATAATCAGTTCAGAAAATGCATCCTGAGATTCCGTCTACTTCTCAAACTATAAAACTGAACAATAGATAGAATTGGGGTGGCTTTTGCAGTGATTTCAACATACATGCTCAATCTGTGTCATCCTACAAGTTGACAAACACGTATGAATTTGATATGTACTCAACCATGTCAAATTCTTCTACATTGCTAGGACGCCATTCTCCCTTGGTTTGATGAATATACATGAAACTAGAGAACATTATTGACCTCAAAACAAGTTTTCCCAAAATCTAGCAAGATATTCTGATTGAAACAATGTTAAGAAAGCAAAGGCGACAAATTTTCCATGTCAATCAAACTCAAATTCAATATACTTAATGGGGACACTGTTTTGAGTCTTGTGACAAACCACGGCAATGCACAAAAACAATCAAGAAATAATGCAAACGAAAATCACAAACTACACTGAATTTAACATGGTTTAACTTGTAACCTACATCTACTGGTGAAAACAGCAAAGAAGTTTCATTATGCGAAGAAGAAAGGAGGTGTACAAGTCTCTCTAGCTAGGGGGCGTAGAAGTTAAGCCTGAATAACACAAACCCTAGAACCCTTACATACACCAAGTTACAATAGAGACTAAGAATCTGATCAAAACCTGTCCTACGACAAAACGGGTAAAAAAAAAAATTGACCCAGGCCAAAAAATTAATAAAAAATTTGGGCCACAGCTCACAGGCTGCAATTATCAATATACAGTAAATGCAATGAACTGTACTAAGAGATCATTTATGAGGCATTATTCATGGAGGTGTAATGCAACATTCAGGTGGAAGGAATTTAAAGGTTATCATCAAAGCACTCAATGGCAAAATCAAAATGCCATTGGCTGCCATGATCTTTTGTAAATTTCAAGACATTAATGCTTATCACTGAGAGGTTTAAACCGCATCTCTTGAATTAGAACATTTCATGAGTTCATAATCATGGACAATGGTCAAGGTATCTCCACTGTAGTAAATGCATTAATCATTGCAGAGGATGCAAAAGGTGTATCATTTCTAACATGTACATGTTTCTGTTCGATGTCTTTTTTTCTTCTCCTCAAAAACAAAAGCATATAACAAGGGAGAAGGTGCTAGCTAGACTAGTGTGAAGACCCACATGAAATCAAATAAAAATTAAGCTTGAACTTCAATGACCGTGCGGTTGAAATGTCCAATGAAGAGTTAAAAACAGAGAATGAAAAGATGGTAGCAATTCAAATGATGGCAGTAACCTAAAAAATCAACAAGATGAGCTCTCACTTGAAATCAAAATAATATCTTCTATAGAACACCCCTTAGATTTTTATGTAAATGAATTACATCATAAGCTAAAGAGAAACATCGTCATCTTAAAATAGCATATAATTTTCAAATATATGCATAAAAATTTGATCTTTTAATTCTTATAATTGCATTCAAAAAGTGGTTTCAACATAACTAATTCTTATAATTGCATACAAAAAGAGATTTCAACAGAATGTTTTTTAAGGCGCTCAATCATGTGCTAAGCAAATGTAATCAAGGACAGATCAGAGCCTACTGAGCAACAAGGTGATCATAAAACCAGAAAAGGGTGTCAGAAAACAGGACAAGTTAACACTCTCGACTTATAAACAAATTTCCGCACCCATGGATAATAAGTAACTTGGACAAATTAATAATTTAAACAAGAAGCAAAACTTGGTCCATATTAAGCTTGAAGGGAACAAAAGTCACCAAATGCAAATATCTAGCAAGGATACTACAATCACTATAATCAAAGAAAGGCGTAGACGGCTTTGTAAAGAAATCAGCAGCATCGTTGACTCACATTTGACGCAGACAATAAAGAGATGGCCACATTTTAGAAGTCTAAAAAGTGGTTTCCTACTACCGCATGGCTGGTGCAGCATGTATAACCTAAATTTCATCGTTGTCCAAACTGCAACTCTTGAGGATAACCAAGTACCTTTCTGAGTAGAGGAATGAGGCCTATTAAAGCTATTTGAAGTTGTTCTGAGCTATTCAAGCGAATACTGACTTGTCCTGTACCCCTGTTATTAACATTGATTCGGCCAATCAAATTTGTAAAGCGTCCAACAGGAATCTGAGACTGAATATTCCATCCAATAGCAAGATCCCCATGCCAATCCATGATAGAGAGCCCAAAAGTCGACAGTGAACGGCCCAGAGGATGGTCTCTGTCTCTCAAAGTGGCCTCCAAACTGCCACCATAAGCAACGTCACCGCGACCAGCAACAGCACCCCCAGACATAACCACATGGAGTCGTTTCTTAACAATTAATTTGTCCTCAACTTTCACCCCAGCCGTTAGGGCATCACCCAAGACAGTTGCTGAAATACCAGCTGTAGCCTTATTTTGCCTATAATTACTAAACCTTGTCTCGCTGCGTACAGTGTAAGCAATGTCTTTCCCAACAGTCTGCATATCAATACCTAAAGAAGTTGCTTTCCCTTTCCCGTGCTTCACTGAACTGGCTAATTCCATATGGAGATTGGCGTCCTTCTTATCCTTTGTAACCTGGCCAGAAAAAGATACAGGTATCTTGTCTTTAACCACAAACAATCTTTCCACACTTATGCCGTCATAACCAACGTCATGATCCCAGCCATGAGGTTCTAGATCAGGCCTCACAAGCCACTGGTTGGAAGAATCAAGATACCGATACCTGTGAGTAGGATTCTCAGAATCAAAAGAAGCAGGTAGGGGCAAATCTGGCATGGGAACTGGCACAGATGATGCAGCTCCGCTTTCTTCTTCTACATTCTCTCTGTAGTCACTTGGCAAATCCTTAACTGCAGCCGCCATTTCCTTCATCATCTTCCTCCGCTTTTTCTCTTCTTTCAACTGCTTCTTCATAAAAAGTTTTTCCCTATATTCCAGTTCATCATAATATGCCTTCCTCTGCGCTTTATTGAGCTTTGCTAGCTGGGCCTTGGTCAACCGTTTAAATGGTGGCAGTTCATCATATTCAGATTCAGTATCTGAATCTGATGACTCATCCAAATCATCATCTAAATTGTCATCATCAGCAAACTGCTCCTCTGGCAGTTTCAGCTGTGGTCTTGATTGGAGAAGGGAGGAAAGGAGGAAAGGTAAAGGCGGTGCTCTAGTTCGAGTGGCAAAAGGCTTTCCAGGTGGACTATCTTGCAACTTTAGAAGGGTATTTGCTTCAGCCAAAATCTTTGATGCAAAGGATAACAATAACAAGTGAGGCTTCCAAACCTGACCATTGGGCAACACTCTCTGTCCAGCCCTGTTTGTCCTGCATGCTGAGTGGTTCTCCACTAAAGAAACGGGATTCATGAGCCGCATATCCCCAGCTGCCTGACGAATTGCTTGCTGGACGACATGAGACCGTTGAGTGACAAACATATCATAACTAGTAGCAGTACCATTTGGGCCTTCGGGTGGAGCAGATGCAGCATGAGTCAGAACCACAATGGCATTAAACCATATTGACGGTCCAAATATATCGGTGATTGTACGCAATAGAGGCATGTCACAAAAATCCCTGCTCTGCATGTCCAACCTATCAAGATACAAGACAATATCCGGGGGTGTTTTCTTGATAAACCGCTTAACTGAGTGGAGGATTTTCTCATTCTGACGCTGGTCTGACCAAGAAGGTAGAAGGCCTGGTGTGTCAATGACCCGTACCTTAATTCCCTGCACAGTTCCCACAACATCCTGAACCTTCTTCGTACCTGACTGAAAAGCATCGGTTCCAAACTTAACTTCATCAAATATTGAGTTGATAGTTGCACTTTTACCAACTCCTGTTTTTCCAAGAACCATGATTGTGCAAGAGAAATCAAGAGGTTCCTGTCCAGCAGCCTCCAGCTGCTCTGCCATCGCACTTGCACGGTCAAAGCTAAAGGCAGCAACACGACCACCAGTTCTCCCTCGCAGCTGTTCAGCTAATCCTAGTCTGTACAAGACTTGAGCTACAACAACATTATGGGGAGTTTGCCCAAGCCTATGAGCAAGACGCAAAAATTTCACACGGATCATCTGGAGTTTCTCACGGGTTTCATCATTTTCCTCGGTCTCACCATTCGTAGGGTCTTCAATGAGTTGGTTTTGCATCTGGGTTGCTGTTCCATTCACCCGATTCTGCTGCACTACTCGAGGAGCAGGTTCCAACAGCGGAGCAGCACGCCCAAGGCCAGCAGGACGAGCAGGAACAGGAGCAGGATTTGTAGACTTCCCAGACGATGAAGATATGTCTGCTGCAGACTTGATCTCCTGGTCTCTGTTACCCTGAATACTTTGCTTCACCTCCTCATCTTTTTGTCTTTTCTGTTCAGAATCCTTGGACACAGCATTGGAAACTTCAACTGTTTCATCAGCATGCTGAGATTGAGAACCCTCACAATTTTCTGCTCCTGAATCAGATACGCTAGGCTGAATCTTCACACTGTTATCAGCCACAGAATCTTCTAAAGAAGGCAAGCTCTTAGTATCCACAGTTATTGTCCTTTCCTCCACAGAAGCACATAGGTTATCTTCTGGTTTATGACTTTCTACATGATGCACTGAATTAATAGAGGCTGAATTATCTTTCTTTTTGCTAATGGCGTCATCTTGACTTTCCATATCCAAATTGGATGAAGTGTCCTTCAGTTCTTCAAAAGTAAGATCCAGATGCCCTTGACCAAGGCTAGCTGAAGCTCCTTCTTTTGGTTCCTCATAGCTGTCATCCTTCAAAACCATATCGAAGTGAATTAAATTATCTTTTGGCTCCTCAACCTTATCACCCTGCTGCTTAGAATAAAGGCCAGCAGAAGTGTCTTCCAGTTCCTCACTCTTGTCATCTTGATGCACAATATCCAAGTTACTCAAAGTTTCTTTCACTTCCTCAGATTGATGCAAAAGCTCACCATTGGATTCAACCTTTTGATGAGAATTACAGTTAACTGCACCCACCTCGTTGGCATCTCCATTCTCTGGTACTGCATGAACATATGCTACCTCATCATTTGTATCTCTGCTTTCTGAGTTGTCATGAACCAATCCTCTCTTCAAATTCTCATTAACTGAAATACCCTTTTCAGATTTCTCAAGAACTTCACCAGAACTTTCATCTACCAAATCACCATCTTGTGAAATTTCTGTATCATCGATACCACCAACATCAGCTACATCATTCCCCCCGTTTTCTTCATTACCCACCAATTCATCATTCCTTAAACCATTCAATTCATCCCTTACAACTTTCTCTATGGCAATTTGCTCATCAATCACCTTCACCGTTGCAGTCTCACTGGGAATCCCTATTGCCTCTTCAAAATTCTCAACTTCAACCTCATTTGACCTCTCGTCAACCCCCAAAGAGCTAGCCGGATTCTCAACCTTCTCACCATTCCCATCTTCATTTAAAATAACATCCTTCGAATCAACTCTTGGCATCTCTGTCTCCATTGCCATCGCAAAAACTTCTTCCCCTTCTGAATCCTTCATATCATCGGACGCACATGCAGTCCTTTCCTCTACTCTCGACTCCAAAACCTCGTCTATCACATCTCTCTTCTCCCCCAAATAAGACCCATCAACATTTCCAACCCCGTTTTCCATCAAAATCCCCAAACAGATCTTCAAAACCCTAACGCTTCACTGAAACTCAAAAAAAAAAACTCTAATCATTCCCAAATTGATTGTCAATAAAGAATCACCATGCCCATTAGAAACACGCAATAGAATACTCAAAAAAACAGATCAAAACAAAAACCCTAATATCAAAATATACATGCATTTATCGATACAATCATGTACAATAAAATCGGCAGATCGTCATGCACATACATCAACAAGCTAAATAATACCAGTACAAAGAAATCAGATCTAGATTGTGTTAGGATTTCGAATTAGGGTTTTGCAGAAACTAAAGTGATGTGATAAATATGAAAGAAATAAATAACTGTAAATAACAGAAGAGAAAGCTTACCTTTTTTCTTGGGGTAGGTGAGAGAAAGCTTATCTTGTCATATGAGATATAGTGAGAGAGTGTGAGAGAGATAAAGAGATTACTTGTTCGCAGTAGGAGGAGGAAAAGGATCTTCTCAATCTAATCTCTGTATATGCTTTTGGTTCTATAGGTATGTAATTTACCAGCTAACCCAGTAGATGAATTGCGGATAAGAGATTGATCCGACGGCTGAGAAAGGCATGTGGAGTTGGGATTGTAGGGTGTGGGAGGGTGCACCAGTTTCATCGTGAAAAACGCCAATCATGTGACGTCGATGTAAAAAGGAAAATGGAAAAAGTTGCCTGTTTAAATGTAACAGGTGGATATTCATAGGGCGTCACGTGTAAGTATTGTTGGACAATTCTGAACCGTTTAATTGTTGATTATCAAGTTGTGATTATTAAATGGGCTATCGATTAGGTTGGCCCACAGTGAGGCCCAGGTGGGTCAAGGGACGAGGATCGCGTTGGATGGTTAAGTCCAAGCACATTGTCTCTTTTTTTCCCACCAGATAGCCTATGTATTTATATTGATTGAGTGCAGAAAATATTGTGGAAAGGACAAAAAGTTTAGTGTAAACTGTTATAGGTAATAAGTTGGAAGAACTGAACATATTTAACTCAAAATTAATGCCTAATTCTTTACCAAATGTTAGTACATGTTAATTTGAGACGTATTGCAAAAACATTATAGAATAAAGATTCAAGGATAAGCCATTCTAATGAAATAAACCAATTGGCTAAAGTTAACAAGGATGTGTGGAATTGATTTGATTAAGTTTAGAAATAGGAATAAGCGTTTGTAACTCCTCATCAAGCATTTGTATTTGCATTCAAATTAGGTCAAAAGAAAGGTGAAAGAGACGAGACCGAATCTTATTCTTAATCACATAAGCAATCTCCACAATCATACCAAGTTTTACGATTCCAATTAACAGAATCCCTCAATAAACAAGTACGACAATGACTACTTTACATATACATAACATTTACAAATAACTAAGACTAAACGGAGTGTATCCTAAACCACGATTGAAGCCAACTATTTTTGCCACATCAATACATGTAGGTTTGAACGAAGTGAGTAAGGTAAAGAACACTCGAGTGTTGTAACGAATAAGCGTCTCATATCGGTCACATCAAGTATGGGTAAACTTAGAAGGTCACATCAAGTATGGGTAAACTTAGAAGGTCAAAAGAATAGCACATTACATGCAACAATAACTTCTACACGTATAATATCTTATCGTGTCATTTGCGCGACGCACATTCAACTGCGAACTTAATTTTTTAAACACTAAAAATAAAACTCTTTACGAGTAGATCAAGATCTTATGTCAACACACCTGTTTTTCAAAAGTTTATCCATCCTTGCACTATCTATACTATCAATTTGAGTGAAATATAGGCTTGCACTTCAATGCACTCATATGCTTGTTTTCATAGTGTAACTTGTAACCTTGGAATTATATTTCTCAGCTTTTACATGTTTTCAAAGTGTAACTTATTCACTCATGTTTATACTTTAAAGCTTGTAACTAGGTTTCCATACATTGTACTATCCAAGAGTTTGTAACAGGTTCTCATTGTAGTGCTTCGAGTTAATAAAGAGGATGCTGCATTCTTCTTAACAAGTTGTATTGCTCTTTGTTTGTGATTTGTATCCATAACTCTCATCCAACTCATGATTAATAGTCATTTTGTAAGAATGAATTTAGACGAAGTCATTCTTGCCCTCCTCAATTCCAAGTGTACTTAGGGTGCCAACAATCCTAAAATGAACTAGAAAGTATTTGTTTGGCTTCTCCTTTCACCACATTTCACCCTAGTGTTGTAACGTATAAAATTAAAAGTGCCTACTTTAAATTGAATAATAATTTGACAAGTGCAATTAATTTATGTGATCGGGTAAAAAAAAAACTGATTTTATGTGACGTGTGTGATTAATATATTGACATGATAATATGGTCAACTTTATACAATTTTACAGTAACTCTCACTGCTGGTATCCTTTTTACTGGTACTTGCGAAAACATTCTGATGTTCCATTATTTACCCTTCTTTCTGCGTATTCCGGTTCCCAAACGCAAGAAAGGTGTTTAGAACGAATTTTTTTTTTTTCCTTCATTTTGGTGGAGCATAAACAATATGTTGTGATCCTGTTTTAGGATATGAACCGGTCTACCAAACTAACGGTAGATTCACATCGCCTTCCACCGCAGCTGCCGAGGCTCGCCGGAGCGAACCGCCCAACACTTGGCTACACAAAAGCAATGTAAATGAATAGACATCCTCACATGCTGTCCTTATGCAATGCCCTCTATCTCTTCACCAACTCGCATCCTCACGAGACCATTCCGGACCAAACCCATTAACAAGTCCAATCGTCCCTGTGTTGTTCAATCATTCTTCAATCTCTGCTCCCAAGGCCATCTTGCTCAAGCCATAGAATCTCTTGACTTGTTAGCACGCAAAGGCATACGCTTAGACTCTCAAACTCTCGCATTCCTATTGCAACAGTGTGCAGACTCTAAGTCGCTTAAAGAAGGCAAATGGGTTCACCTTCATTTGAAGCTCACGGGTCGCAAACACCCCAACACCTTGTTGTCGAACTACTTGATAAATATGTATGGCAAATGTGGTGATCACGTAGAAGCACGTAGAGTGTTCGATAATATGTCTGTAAGAAATTTGTATTCTTGGAACAATATGCTTTCTGGGTATGCTAAGTTAGGAATGCTAAAACCAGCTCGGAGGTTGTTTGATGAAATGCTTGAAAAGGACGTTGTGTCATGGAATACCATGATAATTGCATATGCGCGGAGTGGGCACTGTGACGAGGCTTTGAGATTTTTTACTGACCTTCGGAAATCTTCAATTGTGTTTAACGAGTTCAGTTTTGCTGGGATTTTGACAGTTTGTGTGAAATTGAGGGAATTGGGACTTAACAGGCAGGTGCATTGTCAGGTTTTGGTTGCTGGGTTTTTGTCGAATGTGGTTCTTTCAAGTTCTGTCATTGATGCTTATGCTAAATGCGGGGAGATGGGTGATGCAAGGAGATTGTTCAATGAGATGCCCACAAGGGATGTCCTTGCTTGGACCACCTTGGTTTCAGGGTATGCCAAGTGGGGGGATATGAAATCTGCCAGTGAATTGTTTGATGTGATGCCAGAGAAGAATTCCGTCTCGTGGACTGCTTTGATTGCGGGGTATGCTCAAAATGGCATGGGACACAAGGCACTTGAATTGTTCATGGAGATGATGTTTTGTCGCATAAGACCAGATCAATTCACATTTAGTAGCTGCCTTTGTGCTTGTGCTAGTATGGCATCACTCAAACATGGCAAGCAAATTCATGCCTGTCTCATTCGAACTGGTTCCAAACCAAATACAATAGTTGTTAGCTCTCTTATTGACATGTACTCAAAGTGTGGATGTCTGGGAGTTGGGCGGCAGGTTTTTGAAATAATGGGTAATAAGCAAGATTATGTGTTGTGGAACACAATGTTGTCTGCCTTAGCACAGCATGGTTGTGGTGAAGAGGCAGTACGGTTGTTTGAAGACATGGTGAGATTAGGTGTGAAGCCAGATAGGATCACCTTTGTTGTCATTCTCAGTGCATGTAGTCATTCAGGCCTTGTACAGGAGGGGATTCATTCTTTTGAGTCCATGACTTCTGATCATGGCATTCTTCCTGACCAAGAACATTATGCATGCTTGATTGATCTTTTGGGTCGAGCTGGACGTTTTGACGAAGTGATGAACCAGCTCGAGAAGATGCCTTGTAAACCCAATGGTCAGGTTTGGAATGCCTTGCTTGGTGTTTGTAGGATTCACGGGAAAATGGAGTTGGGAAGAAAAGCAGCTGAACACCTTATTGAATTGGAGCCTCAATCCTCTGCAGCCTATGTATTACTTTCAACTATATATGCCGTGCTTGGGAGGTGGGAGTCCGTAGAGAAGGTGAGACAACTTATGAACGAGAGAAATGTGAGAAAAGAACGAGCAATTAGTTGGGTAGAAATTGAAAATAAGTTGCATGCTTTTACTGTATCAGATAGGTTGCACCCTTTAAAAGAAGAAATTTTCTCAGTTTTGGAACAGTTAGCTGGCCAGATGGAAGATGATTCCTCATTACTTGATGCTGGTGGGTAAGACTTTGCCGTTTTATCTTTGCATGGTGGGTGTTAAAAAGGACCTGAAATAGTCAAACCTCTATTATTTTCCATAACTTGTAACATGTACCTTTAGTTGTCAAAGAGGGCAGGCCTTTGGACGCTAAAGATCGTTGTGTGTTGATTCTATAGAATAGAATTGAATCTTCACAACGATATACTTGAGTCACACCCCCCCACCCTCCAGTTGAGCGGGCGAAATATCTAGGAAGGAGGCCCCTGAGAATGTTTTGTTCCTTCTGTGTCATAGTTCTGTTTCTTTCTTCTTCTTCTTTTTTTCAATAAAATTGGAAAAGAGGTTATCTATTTCACTTTGTCATCAAATCGATTACATTTGAATATCATCTTATGAAATGCATCTGTTTGTAGATATAGGAATAGTTCTCTCTTTGAAATGGATTTGCAAATAATCCGCAAGTTGTTAAAGAACAATAATAATATCAAACACAAAACTCCTAGAGGAAGAAATTGTCATCTCCTTAGCACAATGCACAATTACTTGATAATATGTATGCAGTTGACTTACTTGTTCTGTTAATTATTCTAATTGATGAAGTCTGAATTCTGAAAACCTTATTAAAGTGCTTTATTTTTATTTTACAAATTGCTGATATTTTGTTGAGTGTGAACAGTTGCATCTGGTTCTTTTAGGTGTTTGTATTATCATAATTCATCTAGATAAATGTAGTAAACTGGGCCTCCCTATAAGTTAGTGCTGCTTTTGCACTTTACATAAGATTGGTTATACCTTATGTTTCCTACAACAGTAGTAAATTTTTTAATATTCATTCATTGGATTTTGAAGCCAATATGATCATTTGTGAAACTTGTAGGGATATCTATGCAATGAAATGGGCTAAGAAAAACAAGTCGAATGAGAAGAATATTGAGCAAATTATATTGTTTAAAATTTACAGTACAAGCACTGCCAACATGAGGGTTCTGTCATGGTTTCTCAGAGGCTTGGTATTCTTATTTTTCTCAGTGGTTTCGAATACTTGGAGCAGTCATGTCTAGCAGATTATACGCCAGTTTTTCAGCTGTCATGTGTAGCAGATTCAGTGTCTGTATTTCAATGTTCAGTTTTCATGATAAGAAATAGAGAGCTCATTTATTCAGTGAATTACAATTTGAACAAAAAGATGGAATCTCTCTCTCTCTCTCTCTCTCTCCACCGCTCATAATTTTTATGCTGGAAAATTTACAGCTAATATCATGTGTCATGTGCCTCAATTTCATTGTTCATATCTATTTATTCTTTTGTTAAACCTGGGCAAAAATATGAATTGACAACCTGTAACAATGTTTCTGTTTAACCTTACTATTCTCTAGTTCTATAGTCTTTTTCAGATGGAGCAGCTAAAGTAGCATCTTTGAGAATTGCTGAACTTAATTCGACAGGTCATCAACAACATGGTAAAAGGGTGCTCAATTTTTTCTAGCATAAATGGTCATTTAATGAGAATTTCTCATTATCTTTGCTGGGGCCTTTTGCTGTTCATGTGGCCTTCCACTGTACTTACCTGGGCTACAGCTTGGGTATTTACCTTCTGGTTCGTGGTCCCTTCCACACACTTGGCTAATTGTTAATGCCTTCATCTGTTTGAAAGCATCTGATAGAAATTTAGTTCTAATCGTCTAACTGCTCAATTACTTACCAGGAAGGGTAGTACTTGCGGATGATGGATGTTGTCTTCATCAATTGCGAAGTCCTCTACAACTAGGGAAATGTTTTAAACTAAGGCATCACTGGTAAGGTTCTTACAGTTGGAAAATAATTACTTTAAGTTGTGCTATAATCAATTTAGCTTGTCTATTCCTTCAACAATTGATTTGATCTGGTAGGCCTTGATCCATGCTACCAAACCATTAGACTATCCCCATATCTGTTATTGGCTTATAAAAGTTGTAAGGCTATGATTGATGGAATATCCTTCCAATTGTGGGCATGCTCTGAGCTTTGACACTGAGGTGGTTGAGCCAACATGAAAAGACCATAACACTTATTGGGGAAATAAACAAAAAAAAAAAAAAAAATTAAAAACCCATTGAACACTTCTTTGGTGATAGGTGTACAACCGACTTCCATATGCAGAATGCGGATACTTGTTCTTATCAATTAAGTTTGGACGTGTTATTCAAGAGTTTTATTTTATTTTACAACTTTGTGAAGTTTGATGGAGTTTGAGTTGTTGCATCTGCTATTTCTAGGCATTTGCATTATTGTAATTCATCTAGGTGGGTGTAGTATGCTTAGCTTTCTATTACTTGGTGGTGTTTTTTCTCCTTTCATGAGTTTCTTTTTGTTTCCCAATCAAAGCAAAAAATAAATAAATAAAAGAAAAAATTGTATTGAATGGATTCAGGAGGATATATAATAATTTGTGAAATTTTTTAGGCATATCTATGCAAAGAAATGAGCTAAAGAAGCATAAGACAAAGGATAAGAGATATTCAACAAATTACAAAGTTTAAAAATTTTGAGTACAAGCGCTACTTTTAACTACTATCTACTCTAAAAGCTTAAGCTTTAAGAGAGGGTGTAACTTTAATATTTAAATCCTTCATCATGCCTCCTCATGTGTGACCCTCTTTTGGTCCAACATGTGTTTCAATTTTTAATTATCAGGGTAACGGTGAGGTTTGAATACATGATCTTGTTTTCTCTTATACCAAGTTAAAATTGAAAAGAGAAATAGAACATGAAGAACACAAGGATACAAGTGGTTCGGTCACTACGGGCCTACATTCATGGTACACAAAGCCCAAAGGGCTATATCACTTTCATTATATTCTCTCTCTTAATTTTTGAATATAATGATTGCCTTTATTTATAGGTGAAAGAATACAAACATGTGATAAATATGATATAGGAAAGATTCTTAAAATTATTCCCATGATTCGCTCATATCAATATATTTAAGGAGTAAATTAAGAGCTTTAATAACTCCTATAGTGATATTCTCTAACACCCTCTCTCAAGTTGGTACACAAAAATTTTAACTCAAGTGTCCAACTTGAAACTAAATACAAAGTTGTCGAGAGTCCGAGACGAGTTGATCCGAAGATCCGAGACAAGTAGAGTATGAAGGTTATGATAAATCTGTTTTGATACCATATTAACTACCATCTACTGCTTAAGCTTTTAGAGAGGGTGTAACTATAATATTTAAATCCTTCAATAGATACCATTTTTTTTTGTTTCCTAGTTTCAATAGCTACCAATTCATTGTTGCTATCAGTAAAAGGAGCTTCAAATGGTGGCCAATAATCTGTCTTGGCTTCTCAGAGGATTGGTAGTCTCATTGTTTCAGTGCTTTTGAGTTTTGAATACCTAGCTCTTTCATGTCTTATGTCAGTTTTTTATTATTCAAATTTCATGTGTAGGCGACAAGGAACTTAATTTTTCATTATATTACAGTTTCAACAATATTGTGGGGTGCCTCTCTCCCTCAAGCACCGCCCACACATCAGCTTCTGCTGGAAATTTATGGTTTCTAATAGTGTGTTTCATATGCTTCATATTAATAGTTCATATATCCGACCAGCAGTTCCATTTTGGGTTTTAGCCGGTTTGTTTCAGCTTACTATTCTTTTAGTTCTACACACTGTTTTGCAGATGGAATGGTAAGCTATCATCTTTGAGAATCATTGGGCCTTATTCTACAATAGTCGATCACATGGTAGGCTCCATTCCACTTTCATTACGCAGCTGTCCCAAAATCTTCTAGCATAAGATAGTGCTGAATGAGGATTTATTATCATGATGGACCTTTTGAAACCATATTATTAAAAATAGTTTTTTCATCTAACGATTTGATTATTTACCAGGTTGGGTAGAAAATATTGACTATGGAAGCTGTTATCATAAATTGAAAAGTCCTCTACAACTGCGGAAATGTTATACACTGAAGCATCATTGGTAAGTTTCTTGCAATTGAAAAAAGAAAAATGACACCGTAATCATGGCTTTAGTGACCACAACTTCTCATTCTCATTCATTGAATAATCTGAATGTCACGTAACGCGCTTTGTCTGGCGGATTAAGAGTTGTATGTGGGTAGCTATCAATTTAGAAAAGAATAATATTTTCTGAATGGAAAGGGTTGCAACCAAAAGGTGGTTCGAGTGATCTAATTGCCTTTGGATGCATTGAGGCGAGTCCCACCTGTTACCACTCTCCAAAAGAAATACTTTCTGGATGTTTAGCGATTGCTATGGTTTAATCAACTTAGCTCATCGTTTGATACAATTAGTCTATTTGATCTGGTAGGTCTTGACTTTTCAAAGCTGTAGTGGATGGAATATCCTTCAATTGTGAGCATGATTTGAGCTTTGACACGAGTGGTTGAACCACCATGAAAATGACATAATGGGTGTTGGCCACACGTTTTTTTTTTTTTCCCCAAGTGTTGGCCACACTTGAAGATGTGGATATAGAGTATTACAGGTAACAGGTAGGGTAGCATCATGTCTATGCTGCCATGTGGTAGCTGATTGGGGTCCTTACATATCTAAAATCATTTATAGGCTGGTGACTTTAGATTTTCTCATCACCAAAGACAGAAGGAGAAGATATGTTACCAAAACCGACAAATGCATTTTACTTTAAACAGCCAACCAAGTGGACCAACCGATGGCACCATCGATTATATCTCTCCACCAATAATTCAATCAAGCCGGCCCACATTCAAAAAGACAGATAGGAAGTTCTAATCCAAAATAAAATCTAAAGAAAAATAAAGAGGGATAGAAATTATCTTTTTGTCAATAATTGCATTCTAATCCCAGAGTAAAACTAATATTATAATGCATATATCAAGACCCAGTAACCTAATGTCTGTTTTGCACAGTTCAGTTAGGAGGAGAAGAGAAAAAAGAAGACCGAGCAAAGAAGAAGAGGTTCTTCTTCTTCTGGTTCTCTGAGTCTCATAATGGGTGCCCAGGTCTCCAAACAGGTAACGCGGCGAAAAGCGATCTCAACCGAGAAGAAAACTCTCTGTGATCTTCGCGAGAGCTGTGGTCATGAGTTCCCTTGTTGTGACTACCATCCTCCTGATAGGAAAAACTGGATGTCTGATCTCAACCCTGAGAAGATTCACATAAACAAGATTGTATGGCCTGGGACCCATGATTCTGCAACCAACAAGATTGGAATTCCATGCATTACTCGGCCTTTTGCACAATGCCAATCTTTGTCTATTTACGATCAGCTGGTAATAGGCACCCGCGTTCTTGATGTCCGAGTTCAGGAGAACCGCCGGGTCTGTCATGGAGTTCTGCTTACATATAGCATTGATGTTGTCATCAAAGACATCAAGAAGTTCTTGTCTGAGACCCAATCAGAGATCATAATACTCGAAATCCGTACCGAGTTCGGGCACGAGGATCCTCCTGATTTTGACAAGTACCTGGAGGAACAGCTTGGCGAGTTTCTGATCCACCAGGATGATCATGTCTTTGAGAAGACAATTGCAGAATTGTTGCCAAGGAGAGTCATTTGTGTATGGAAGCCAAGGAAGACTCCTCAGCCCAAGAAAGGAGGCTCCTTGTGGAGTGCTGGGTATCTGAAGGATAATTGGATTGACACGGACTTGCCCTCGACCAAGTTTGAGAGCAATATGAAGCATCTGAGCGAGCAGCCACCGGTTACCTCCAGGAAATTCTTTTACAGGGTTGAGAACACAGTTACCCCTCAAGCTGATAATCCAGTTTTATGTGTTAGACCGGTCACCGGGCGGATCCATGGATATGCTAGGACTTTCATAACTCAATGCTGCTCTCGTGGTTGTGCTGATCGGTTGCAGATATTCTCGACGGATTTTATAGATGGGGACTTTGTTGATGCCTGCGTTGGTCTTACACAGGGAAGGATTGAAGGAAAGTCCTAATCTATTTTATATGTCTGCTTCTTATTCTCCTATTATAGATATCCTCAATCTCGATCTGTATCATATTCTTTGTTATTGTTGAGAGTTCGATCTGTATCATATTCTTCGTTATTGTTGAGAGTTCTTAAAGTACTACTTGTGATTTGTTGATTTGTGTGCTATTGTTGTGCTTCAATTAGAATGTAATGTAGTGATGTATACAGAGTTGTCTTGTGTATAGAGAGTTGTCATTGTATATTTATCATGATTTGGAGTGTGAATAATGTTTGTGGGTATGTAATGGAGTTATATTTGCCATTTTGCATTTCTAATTTGTGAGTCTCCATGCCTTTCAAACTCAGAAAGAGCAAGAGCATGTGCTGAATGGAAGCTTGAAAAACACTATACCATCTTTAAATTGAGAAAACATGCTCTAAAGTTAGGGAGATTATGCCATCGCTGTTTCTTCATCTATAAATAATTTGAAAAATGGTGAGAACTGGAATTTTTTTTCAGAAAACAGTGTTCTCTTGTATTTTTTTTTTTTTAAATTTTTTTAAGCAAAAACGTCTAAACAAACAAATTATTAAACTGCTTCACTCTCTCTTCACCTTTTTGGCCTTTTCTACCTGCTTTACTCTCTCTCCCTTTTGGCCTTTTCCATTCTCTTTCTATTAGTCCCAATATATCTCCCAAATGAAAATTTGGTGGGACAGTCTGTTCCATAATTTTCCAGAAAGGCCAGTTACCTATACTGTTTCCTGTATTATCTCAGTCTATAACATTGTCATCTAAAAACCTGTCATGAAGATAGAATTTTTATGCACAAGTTCAAACGCATAAACGCTGCTAAACGAAATAACTAGCGTTGCTGGTAGTGAAATCATAGGCTAGGAGGATCAAATCCTGCTTTCACTATAAAGTTCCGTCTATGAACAAGAGGAGATCAATAAAATTGTACACCCCGAAAAGAACAATAGAAAAATTCACAATCACCCACTAGTTCCCTAGAAGTTACATCTGAAAACTGGAAGACTTTCTAAAACCAATGCAGTTTGAAGCGGAGAAAATATAAAATCATGGTGTATTAACCAAAAATTGCATATGATCATACAACAGAAACAAGTATAGTTGCTCGTAGAAAACAATTACCAGGTGCACATAAAAAATTCCCTTCATCCTAACAAATCGAGAAATTCAGAAGTTCTATTTGAGTAACTTCCTTCCTCAGCCCATACACCAGCAATAAATGACAAGGAAGTTTTGAGCATTACATTTCTCTTGCCATAACCTTTACAAGCATATCCCTTACTTTAGAAGCATTCAACAACTGCACACTTGGTGAGAGAAACCGATCAAACTTAAGATCAGGCCCGAAAAGGAAGAAATCAAGTAGACAACCAAAAAGTATTTTAATAAGAGTTTTCTATAAGAAGGGCAAAGCCAGTGCACGAGCCTCGTGCCAAATGATGCATGATATACAGTTTTTGCTCTAATACCACAAGTTGCAATCTAACATCTTCCGCTGCTGTTTCTGTGCCTGGTTTATAACTAGGTGTTAATGAATATTTTATATCTTCCTGGGTTTGAGGAGGAACAACCTATCAATGCTTTCTCTGACAGAATTTATTTTTCAAAAATTCCTCTAATTGTTGGAAAATCGGTGAAAATGCCCCTGCAAAGAAAATTTATTGTAATTATACAAAAATATCAAAAGAAATTCAAGATTATGCAAGAACTTCAGAATGGTGTCTAGGTACTGTAATTAATTCGACAATCATCTGATAAAGAGTAAACATAAAGAGTGTTATTCACTTCAGAACCACAATTTCACATGCTTTTTAATGTCCGTGCCTTACTAAATATTAACTACAGATCAGTCAAATTTTAACATAAATGGTTTGTTAAGACTTCTTTTAACTGAAGGATGCTTCACTAGCAAAAAGACAAACTTGCCCTGCCCATGCTCTGGGACCGATCCCTAATTCATGCCAAAATAAAGAGAAGAATCTGTAATTCCGTTTCATTTTTCTGATTGTCTTTTCAGACATCATCTGCTATACTCGTATGTGAATGATACAGCCAAGAGCTACTGCAATGAGAATAGACTATTATGTTTGCCCAGGGAATATGCTCAACTCCAACCCAATACACATTCAAACCTTAGAACTCGAGTGGCACTCGAGTTAGCCTTAAGTTGGGTCACTAGTATGCTTAAAAAATTATAAAAACTGAATGTAAAATATTAACAAAGTTAAAAACAAATTATCAAGAAATTAATTCTCCAAAGCATTAATGTACATTAAATCAAGATTTAAAGGGAAAAGAAACTGGGGAAAAAAATATTGATCATAATTATAAATATGTTTAATATATTTAAATTTATAAATATATAAAAAGTTAGAAAATTGAGTCCAGGTTACCAACACCTCAAGCCTGAGCCCAAGCCCAAGCCCAAGCCCAATCCCAATCCCAATCCCAATCCCAATCCCAATCAGAAAAATGGATGTCTAAACCCACGAAAAATCAGATTGAGCTTTGAGTTGGGTTTGGGTTTGCCCATCCAAGTTGCACCCCTACAAAGTATTGATCAAAATAACAAACAATTGTTTTCCTATGTACAAATAACAATAATAATAATTTAGATCAAGCTCTCATAGTAAGCCAACAAAAAAATTGAGGATGAAAAGCTACTTCAGAAAATGGAGGTTTTCCAAATCAAAAAATTAAAGATCAAATAAAAACCCAGAAATTAAGGCCCTGTTTGGTAACGATGCCATTTTCAAAAATGAAAAACGGAAGCAAAAACTTATTTGGTAACAATGTTTTGCTTTAGGCATTCTTAAAAAAAAAAAAAAAAAAAAAAAAACCTAAACACTGCTACCAAAAGCAGCCACTTTCTTTACAATTTTGAAAGCATTTAAATGATGTTGTGGCTTTGTGTTGACTGTTTTGGGCACTGTAGTGGCTACAGTGACACCGCTACAGTGTCCACTTAAAAATTTTAATGGGCCTCTGTCTTAAACGACGGAGGCCGCACACATGAAGAGACAAAAACTACAGTAATATATATAGAGAGAGAGATAAAAAAAGTTCTCTCTTCTTCTGGTGGCGATGGTGGTGCTTCATCGGCAAATGCCCAAGGTGTTCTGCTTTAGACAGAAATCACAGCACAGCAAAATAAATAAATAAAACAGCAGTGTTACCAAACAGGCCCTAATTTGTTTTTAAAATAATTAGAGATCAGTCCATATACATAGGCAAATGGATCTCTTTCAAGTTCTTTTATCCATTTACTAGCAAACCCATATTTTCATTTAATAGGCAAATGGGCTTGATCTCTATTTAATTTCTATAACAGAAAGTGATGTCAAAACATAAGCCAAGCTCTAGGACTTGAGTAACAAAAAAGAAAAAAGGAAAAAGAAATCCAAATGAACAAAAAGAGTACATATTAATAAACTTGTAAAATGACAGGAGGCCACAATTCCCAAACACACAAATTTATCATCTTGAATGAATCACATATAAAGGGAAATTGCAAAGGGAATTTACGGTATTTACCCATAGAGTTAGAGCAGAGAGGATGGATTTCAGAAGTTTTACTGAAATATCTGATGGCTTGGCTCCAAAAAATAGTACTTCTAATAACCAATGAGAAATTGCATAATCGAAGAAACATTTTCTATAGCACACAAAAAACGCCACCCATGCATTCCCAAATTTTAAAAATAAAAAATGAAATGATGGACAGAAAAGAGGTGGTTGTTTGGGGGTGGGTTGGACATACCGGTTAAGATGTGAAGGTTTCAATAGCAAAATTTTAAATATTTAGAACCAGAAAAAAAAAAAAAAAAAAAAGGACATGAATCCAACTGAACCCAACACAACTATTTGGCCAAGTTCAGCGAGGTTTTCCATTTTTCCTGGAAAAACCAAGACAAAAATAAAATAAAATAAAATACAGAACTTAGTATACTTAGTATCATATATTTTCCTCAAAACTTCCCCCATCAACCAAATATAAGGTACAAAACAAAAAGCGAGGGAGACATCTCCCCTTCCTTAGGGATGCCTCATCCGTCCCTCCCCATCCCCCTCCCCCTTCCCCATCCATTTTTCCATCCCCCAACCAAACAGAGCATTAGAGTCAACAACAATAGCAGGTCACGGAACACTGCTATAACAGCTTTATAACTATTATGCCACAGAAAGCATAATATATATATATATAGAAACAAAGGATAAGTGGATGAGAACCTGCAACTGCCCTTTCTTTGAGGCACAATGATCCTCTAACCAAAAGTGTACCAGGCATTTGCTGAAAGACCTATAAAGAAGAAGAAACAAGTACACAATTATAAAAAGAACAGACATACATTTAAGTAAAAGAACGCTCAGATATAATATCTAACGACACAAGACATTACATACAAGCAAGCCAATCATTGAGGAAAAATTACCGAAATGCGGAAGCAAAGGTCATTGGTTGGAGTTTGTGGACAATTTGAACCACCGGATGTTTTCGATTCAGATTGACAACTTGCAGCTTCATCAGTATTTTGAACCAAGTTCTTCAGGATAGCATCACACTGATTATTTGATGCAGTAACCTATTGACATGAGATTGTGCTACACATAAGCACATAGTAATATTGCATTCGCAAAAGATCAAAACTTCATATCAAAAGTGATATAGATTACATCAACTGTAAATAAGGAGGCATTTAGTTTACAGGAGGCACCACTAGTACAGAAAAAAGACTCCACTGATTGCAACACCAGCATGGGACTGTATTGGCGATGAAGACCCTGAAAAGCCAGAGAAATTATAACAAAAATGATATATTTTGGTGATCGATGCAAACTAAGAAAAAGATATCCAAACCTCAAGCATGAAAGACAGGACATTCTTCTCAGCCACATGAGATGATATTATCCTCCTGGCGGGAGGCACAAAAGACCAAGCAAGTCCCCATCGACATGTTTGGCCTTGGACAAATTCAGTTGTCTTTACTACTGTCACTCCGACCTTCCAAAGTTTAGACACCAGAAGCTTCAGATTTGATTTCCTTCCAACCATCGAAGTGTACCACCTACAACATAAACAAATGATAATTCATATATGAACAATTTCACAGAAAAGTACCTCGAGGTATCAAAGATGAATTTAAATGGATCTAAAGGATGATAATACCGGAAAGATTGGTTCAATTGAACACTATCTTCAATAATATGACTGATAAAAGCCTGTTCTCCACCAAAACAAACCATCTCCTCAGGGGTTCCACCACAAGAAGTATTTGGATTCAATCCTGCTTCCTCCATTGTCTCAAAGAATGGCGGATTACACATACAGAAGTCAAATTTCTCACCGTCCTTGACAACACCAAGAAGTACTGGTGGTCCATTATAACTCATATTCACACCTGAAAGCAATTCAAGTGAAGATGAGGAGGAAGGCCCAGGGTCAGCATCAATACTACTTTCCCCGTTGACTGACTGGCAATCGTGTTTCTCCTCAGCATTTCCAACCTTTCTAATTTCAATCAGTTCAGATATGTGTGGATTATTTTTAACATTTCTCTCTGCCCACTCTAGTGCTACATTTGTCACATCTGCAACAAAGATTGAGAAAATTGAAATCTCATTACATTTTAATTTAGCATTTTAAGTTTTTTTGTGACCACAAAAATTTGAGAAATGAAAATTGAAGGCATTGCAACTACCTGAGCCAACAAAGCTCCAACCCAGAAGAGATGCACCAAGAAGTGGGTAAATGCAGTTGGCTCCAGTTCCAATATCAAAACCCCTCACAACACCACCAGCGCAAGTTTCTGCAATGAAATTGGATGATAAAAGATCTTCAATCCAATGAATGTAATTAGATCTGTTGGGCACTGTTGGGCAGAGCTGTCCATCAGGAATCCACCTACAATATTGAGTTCACTCTCTATAAACCACAGATCCAAAACTCATCATGATGCGAAACAGCAATTTCCAAGCTTGGAAACATTATGCAACACCCACCATCATAAAATCACAAATGAATTCCATAAACCCGGTTTTGGTTGCTTAGAAGAAGTATGGAAAAGAAAACGAATCTTCACCACCAAAATAAAAACATGAATGTTTTTAGGGAAGTTTTAACTATCGGTAGAATTAAAGCAACAAAGAAATGAAAGACATAAGTCACGCAATTCATGTATGAGTCAAACCAATGTTCAAAAGAGAACAAAAGACAGAGAATTAAATCAAGACTGTTCAATTCTATGAGCTGAATACACAATTAATCCCTAAACCTGAAACCTCAGTCAAGACAGAGCCCTAGTTCTAAGCATGCACTCATAATCGAAACTTTAAACACTATAAGTCTGCTTTCAGTTCCAGAGAAAGTGCAAGAAAATAAAAAGGACTGAATATTTGAATTTTCTTTCTGATCGAACAAACCAAAATCTCCATTTTCCTTTACTCAATTCAACTGCGTGCCTTTAAGATAATGCTTTATCCAAAAAATATCCATACAGCAGAGAAACACAAAACATGGGCCCATATTTGTTGCTAATTTGCTTTCTTTTCTTACATTTTCACGACACCAATTGGAAAATCAAGAACAAGAAACAAACCAACCCAAAAATCCTTACATATATATATATATATAGATTGTAAGAAATAGGTTGTTACCAATTGAGGCTATGATCATGGAGAAGTAAAACCCTAGTAAGCTCTCTGGTGGCATTGAAGTCGGTCCAATCGATTTTGGGACGACCATTGGAAGAGTAGAATACGAAAGGTTCGAAAGATGGGTAAAGAGAGGCCAAGAGTTTGAAGTCCGGCGGATTATTGGCGTACTTGTTTCGGGGGTGAATTGTTGCTCTCTCCTCCCCTCTCTTCCTCTTCTTCTTGCTCCCCATTCTTGATTCTGCAATTTCTTTAGCCAATCGGGCTTTATATAAAGCAATGCTCACTCGTAGATAGGTTATTCAGCCCAAATTTTTAGGTTGGGCCTGGTGATGGTTCCGGTCTAGGTTAATTGGGCCCAAATTCTTTTTAGGATGGGCCAGGTGTTGGTTCTGGTCCTGAATCTAAGACCAAGTCCTACTGGGCTAGGTGTTGATGTAACCTATTGATATCTCATGAAAAGACACAATAGTAAGGCCCTTTTAGTAAATATTTATGTTTACAATTTATTATTTATAAAAATAAATTTTGAAGAAAAACATGTTTATTAATATTGTTTTATTATCAATTATATAAATACTGCCAAGTGCCATTTTTTTTTTTTTTTGGTTGAAGAAAACAGAAAGCTAAGAAAACAAACATCATCCTCCATGACTTTATAACCAAGAGAGTCATACATTTTACTGAAGATCAGTGATTTCTTTATGAACACCTCATTTACTAGAACCTTGTTAGAGGGTTTAGGAGTCCAACAGAGAAATAATCATTTATGGTGCTCTAGCTAGCAAAATATTACTCGTCCTTAACCTTATCCATATTCAAGGGCCCTAACCTTGTCCATATTCAAGGTCAGTTGGGTAAAAATCTCTTATAACTAGAAAAAAAAAAAAAAAAAGGAATAATTGTTCATTTGTATTAAAGTTTTAGCAAATAATTACACTAAAGAAAGAAAATGTTTCCACGAGGCCAGATGATCTTTAAGTAAAGCAACATAGAGGTAAAGCAACTCGTTATCAATGTTAGGATTAATTCACAGTGTTCTCGTATATCAAACAATTAGAATATAATTTGAAGGTAAAAATAATAAAAATAATAATTTAAATCCCCTGAAAAAAGATTTTAATAATTTTGTAAAATTGCTACTGTTTTAAAAAAAAACGAACCACTATTATCAATATATTCATTCAAACTCCCATCAAGTTGCTCGAGAGGAACCAATCTTACATGTCAAGGTCATCAAAGAGAAGTGTGCGCCCAAAACGCATCACTTTCTTGGGCCATGTGATTATTGGTGCAAGACAAGTGACATTGCTTAGCTATTTATCGGTAGTTTTACCCTACTCCGCCCTTGTGTATTTCAATAAAAAAAATAACACATCAGTTTTAATAACAAAATCAGCAAAATAATAAAATAAAAATAAAAAGTCGGATTGACCCGTTTTAATTTGGTAAAACCTATTTCTCTTTTCTCTGTCTCTTTTATCAATTCCTAAACCCACGCCCTCCTCTCTCCACTATTCTTCTGTTTCACCCTTTCTCTTTTATTTATCTTTTCATCACTTCCCAAACCAATGCCCTAAATTTTAAAATTTTAGAGTAAATTTTGACTTTTAAAATTCATTGTTAGAATAAAGAAAGAAATTTGAGAATAATGAATTAAACAAAATTAACAAATTCTACTCTGTAATCCTAGAAGAAATAAAACTTTAAAACAAAAAGTGTTAAAAGTAAATATATAATAAACTCAGCAAACAATTTTAGGACAAAGCTTGTGCTTTATTCACTGAATCAGCAAGAATGACACTGAGTTTCCTCCCAAAATAATTCAAACGAATGTTTGCTCTTTAGTTCTAGTTAGTGGTTACTTCAAAACAAACCAACAAATAAATAAATAAATAAAAATAAAAAAATGGAAAGATTTTGTTTTTGTTTAATCCCAAAAATAAAATAAATTTTAGATGTTACCCGTTCCCACCAAACTAAATTTGGGGCAAGTGTTGATTTGTTAGACATGTGACAGGCCTTATTCCTCACTCATTATAAAAGATTAAAATTCTTTCTTAGGTGCAATCTGCCACGCCCAAAAGCCCAATCTACCCCCATAAATTAGGACTGTAATTCGGGCGGATTGGACGAGTTTGAGGTTTAACTTGAACCCAACCCACTATATGAAATGCTAAATTTAAACTCAAACCCAACCCTAACCCTATCCTCAACCCTAATTACTTAACTCAAGCCCAACCCATCCTTCTACTTTTAAATTAGGGCTTACAACTTGGGCTTAGATTTTGTGTTAAAACTTCAGGTTAATTCAGGTTACTCATATGGCTAATTTTCACACCGAAAATTTAATATGATTTTCAATTAGTTTTAGATTAAATTACTCTAAGATAAGAAAAAGTTCAAAGATTTTTGTAGATTTTTGATAAATTACAAACAAATTCTTAGAAAATTAAGTTTCCTTAATGTTAATATACAATAAGTTAAGATTTAATAAGGAAGTTGAAAAGAAAAAAAAAGGTAATCATAGTTTAAATATTATATATAATGTATTGTAAAGTAAAAATATATATGAAAATAATATTATAATTCGGGTTTGGGTTAGCTCGGGTTGTTTGCACTTAAACCCAAGCCCAACCCTAATTAAATTCGGATTGAGATTTTTTAACTCAAGCCCAACCTTAATTGTAAAAACAATTGCCTAAACTTACAAAAAATCGAGTTGGGTTCGGGTTTCCCAATCCAAGTTGCACCCCTACCATAAATTCGGATTGATTATATATAATGTATTGTAAAGTAAAAATATATATGAAAATAATATTATAATTCGGGTTTGGGTTAGCTCGGGTTGTTTGCACTTCAACCCAAGCCCAACCCTAATTAAATTCGGATTGAGATTTTTTAACTCAAGCCCAACCTTAATTGTAAAAACAATTGCCTAAACTTACAAAAAATCGAGTTGGGTTCGGGTTTCCCAATCCAAGTTGCACCCCTACCATAAATTCCTGCGGAGCAATAGATGGTAGGATTACATGGGACCTGCATAATGAATTTTGTTTTAAAGTTTTTTTTCTTCCAGGATTGCAAACTAGAATTTGTTAATTTTGTTTAATTCATTGTTCTCAAATTTCTTTCTTTATTCTAACAATGAATTTTAAAAGTCAAAATTTTTGAGGGGCTTGGGAAGCCATGAAAAGAGAAATAAAAGAGAAATGGTGAAAAAGAAGAAGAACAGTGGAAAGAGGAGCGCGTCGGTTTGGAAATCGATGAAAGAAAGAGAGAAGAGAAAGAGGTTTTACCCAATTAAAACGGGTCGATCAGACTTTCTTCTCTTTTTTTATTAATTTGCTGATTTTGTTATTAAAGTTGATGTATTATTTTTTTATTAAAACATATAAGAAGTGAATATGGTGTGATTATTTACCGGTGAGTAGTTAAGCATCGTCCCAGGACAAGTACAACTAAATATGGATAAGATAAGGCTTAACGTAGGACTCCTACTTTAGTGGCCCAACTTTCATATGGATAAGGTTAGGGCCCTAACAATAAAAGAATGAACTCCTAACTCAATGACCGAACTTGAACTGATTTTATAAGCCTGTTTGTCACATACATTATTTTTTCTTATCCTTCCTTTTACCCCCTCCTTCCATTTTTACCCCTCCTTCCCTTATCTATCCTATGATTTTCTTCTATTTTCCCTTCCCTTCCCTTCACTTATTTTATTGCCAAAATTTTCTCTAATTTTATTTCTTGATCTTTCTACAGACCAATGGAAGCAGGACCAAAATTTTGTCCTTCAACCATTTTGCTCAACTTTAGCTCTTTGCAGATGTTTCAATAATCTAGTGAATTTGTGTTTGCCTCTGACAAACTTTGGAGTGGCAGGTTTCGATTATCTGTATCTACTAATCTAACTTTTAACACTTATTGTCCTTTTTTTTTTTTTAAAAAAAAAAAAAAAAAACTCTTTGGACAAGATTCGAGATCTGATAGAAAACTTGACAAACCGTACTACTCTAATGGTATAATAGAAAATTGAAGAATCTAATCTATTTTCTTTGCTTTATCGACTAAAATTAGCCTTTGATCCTTCAACAGCATCACTTTATCAATTCATATGGCATCTTCATATAAATATTATACATAACTGTCCCGATCTATTTTCTCCCACCTTGATATAACCACTTGATCACATTGCCCCTTTTTATTTTCTTCAGGTGAAACTCTAAGCAATTGGACTACCCCACCACTTCTATAAATCTCATCATAGTGTCACAAAACAAATGACCAGAGAGGGTTACTTTTATCTTTTAGGAAAAATGTTGCAAGGAAGAGCAAGAAAAATTCTTGGTTGTTTTTATGAAAACCAAAAGATTCGTTTACTTATCACTATCATGTAAACAGGACAATATTGTCAACGTTCCCCGATTACCATTTACCCTAAACCCTAAAAATAAAAATAAAATTAGAAAATAGTTTTATTACAAAAAGAGGTTAATTTAGTAATTTGCAGTGAATGACAAAGGGAAGCAGTTAAATGGCCTGTGCAGATCTCTTCATAGACTCTGTCGTTTGATTTAAAATCTGATGTGTTTCTGACTCACCACTCCATTTCAATCTTAAAAAAGGTTACTGTAACCTCAGATTTGGAACAAGTTTTGTCTAGACATAATATAACCAACAGTCAGATAAGATCCAAAATTAACGGTCAGAACTACCTTTGTCCAAATATAGGATACCTAACAGTCATAGATTCCCAAATTGATGGATTGAGAAGAGGTGGGACCTAAACAAGATGAATATCATCAAGTAAGCCTATCCATATGAACAGGTTGCTGACTCAGTATTCTGTACAAATTGGATAAGCATTTCCAAACATCATCAATCCACAATTCATATACATATATATATCACCTCCTCTGCCACGTTAGACATCATCTCACACTCTCAATCTCCACATATGAATTCAATGTTTGTGTCCTCCTCAAATTCATTATTTGTATCATCACTTCCTCTAGGGGGTACTAAAATAAGCCTGGACCGACGGTCTTCAAATCCGTCTAGTGTCAGATTCCGCCCAGTGAAAATTGTAGCTGCAACTGCTACCACCTCTGTTTGTTTTGATATGGCTTCATGTTCATCTTTGTATGATGTTTTGGGAATTCCGGTGAGTGCTTCCGGTCACGAGATCAAGGCGGCCTACCGGAGACTGGCACGAACGTGCCATCCAGACGTTGCGAGCATGAATCAGAAAGAATGGTCGGCCAATGAATTTATGAAGATTCATGCTGCTTATTCCACCCTGTCGGACCCTGAGAAAAGGGCTCATTATGACCGGGATCTGTTTAGGGTGGGACGGGGGTTAGGCTCGTTTTCAGCCATGCCGGCGGCTTCATGGAAGTCGTCGGAGTCGGCATATTCAGGCTTCACGCGCCGGAATTGGGAGACTGACCAATGTTGGTAGCAGAGAATTAAGACATTGTACTAACCATGTTTTGGTTTTGTTTTATGTAGCATATATTTTTTACACTTTTTACAAAATTAGAAGTTTTGAATGTAATAATTATTCGGTTGCAGGTGCCTGATTTTGGTACTACATTGTATTTCTTTTAAATTTGAGGACATTCATATATTGCGTTTTGACATTATCAACAATCATAACTTCACATATCTTGAATGTTCCATGTCTTATATTCTTATTATAAAAAATAAAAAAAAAGCAATAATGATTTGATAGTCAAACTTCAAATCGCATATCCAATCACTGAGATCAAATGTGAGTTTAGGGAGTTTAGGACCACAAAAAATATATAAAACAAAACCGACGCATGTTTAGTACTATATCTTAGTTCTTTGCTACCAACATTGGTCGGTCCATAATCTTTCGAAACAAAAAAAAAAAAAAAAAAAAAAAAAAACATTGGTCTGTCCATAGTACTAAACATGTTTTGGTTTTATTTTATATATATTTTTTACACTTTGTACAAAATTAGAAGTTTCAAATGTAACAATTATTAGGTTGCATGTGTCCGGTGTTGATATTACATAATATTTCTTTTAAATTTGATATTCATATATATCATGTGTGTCTCGTGTTTAATACTAGTAAGTTCACCAATCTTGAATAGTCAATATCTTATATTTTTACTATAAAAAAAAATAATGATTTGATAGTCAAACTTTGAATATCTAAACACAAAAAATGCGGGCGTCATTATATTTTGAATAACTGATATTATTTATTTTCACCATCCAAAAACGAATAATAATTTGATTGTTCAAACTCCGAATGTCTAATAGTGAGACAAAGTTAGTGGCAGTTGGAGTTCAACAAACGGCTCATCCAAAAATCCACTTGAAAGAAGAAAAAAAACAAAGAAAGGAAATTGATAGTTGTGCCTAGCGTGGCTCCTCAGAATGTACAGCTCACAAGGGAACATTTTGATAGCTATCTTAACTTCCACTTGTGGCTTTGGTTTTTAAATACATTATTTTTTTATTTAAAAATTAAATGACCATATATTCAACCTTATCTTAAAAAATAAAAAATAAAAACTTTATCTGCCTTCGTAAACATTTGGGTCCATCAGGTAATAAAAATTGTCTTTTGTTAACTATGCGACGAGCAGTTGTGATTGTTGCAATATTGTACAATGACAATCCACAGTATATTTCGTCCATAACTAAATAGAACTTTTGTACCTTTTTCATTACCAAAAAAAAAAAAAAGAAAAAAAAAAAAAATGAAGAGGCTTTTGTACTTTTACAATTTATATTGCGTTAGATCTGCATATAATCTACCTTATAACATGTTAGAGCTTCTAAAATAGTCAGTTTAGGTACCAATGTTTATTAATATCCGCTTATTCAAGAACGTGGTGGATTTATAAACTTTTATTTACTGAAGGTAAACACAGTATTATGAAAATAAAAGATAAGCGTAGAAACCACCATTTTTACTCTTTATTTAAAAAAGTGTGTAAAAAATATCACTAATCTTTTTACATTGTGTAAAAATACTCCTTAATCAGAAATCTGACATAAATTAGTACTGTAATATCCGTTTTGTCCTTTTACTCTTCCGAAAATTTTCAAGGGGGTATATATGCTATTAATCTCGTAATATAGAAGTGTTATGTGTACATTACTTTTTATATATATATATATATATATATATATATATATATATATATATATATATTAAAAAAAAAACTTTTTTCCTTACATATATCAGCTAAATTTTTTTTTTTTGAAACTTTGAGAATTTGTATAACAAAGATTTGCATTTTTTTTTTATATTTCAGTTTATTGTCTTCTACTAAATGTTTTTTTTTTTTTTTTTTTTTCGTACCAATACTGTTAAAAAAAAAATAAAAAAAAGAAAAAAAAATCCCAATATTAGTGTGCACTGGTTTTCGGAGTTTGTAACAGATCTATTTTCTTTAGTTTGCACTTTATTTTCATTTTTTATCTTTACTTTTCTTTTATACTTTTATTTTTATTTTTATTTTTATTTTTATCTTTACTTGTCCATTGCCGGCACCCTCTAATAGTGTTCTTTTTGGTCATTTTACAAAATTATTTATTTTTATATATTTAATAAAATTGTTGAGTAAAAATAATTTAGTCAACTTAGGGTTTAAATTTGTGAGAGGGATCTATTTGCACCAAATTGAAATTTTAGAGGTATTTTTTGCATGTGAGGGCGTCCTCAAATAGTGTCCTTTTCGATCACTTTAAAAAATTATTTAATTTTATATATTTTATAAAATGGTTCAGTAAGGGTAATTTAGTCAATTTAGGGTTTAAATTTATCATAGTGACATATTTGCATCAAATTGAAACTTTAAGGGTATTTTTTGCATGTGAAAGGCGTGATATGCACTATAAGCATACTTTATGGATTTTTTTTTGCACTTAGACCCAAAAAATAACTAGCTAGTAATGTAATGTCCCAAATTTTTCTAAATTTTCGGTATTTATTTTTATTTATTTATTAACATGCCGTGTGGGTCCCGATATTATTTTCCATTGCACATACAAATTGTTAAGGGGCACCGGTGTGGTGCCTGCCAAGAGCTCTCCGACGATCAAATTAATCACGGAGGTCTAAAAAGAAGGCAGGGATTAATAATAGTTTTTTTTGTCGTATCTTCTTTAATGGCTTGGTGCCCTATTTATAGCTATCGATTGGAATTAAAATCGTTCCACCGATATCGATGGTTGATCTCATCTTTCGTTTGTGTAAGATCATAGGAGATTTGTTACCAAATTTGTCGGGGATATGATTTAATTCTTTTGACATCCTTCAGTTATAATAGGATTACTCTTACCTGTTGAACCACGTCAGATTTCATTATCATTGACAATGAAATCTAATCAATCTTATCGAGGGTATGGCAGGTTTATATTTTTCCCTATCACAAATAAATAAACACATGCAATGTGCACATTACCTAATATTTTTTTTTAAAAAAACTTTTTTCTCTCTCTCTCTATATATATCTCTAAACTTTTTTTTTTTTTTTTTTGAAACTTTGAGAATTTGTAGAACAAGAATTTGCATTTTTTGAGATTTCAATTTACTGTTTTCTACTAAATATTTTTTTTCTTTATTTTCATATACCAACATTGTTAAGCAAAAAAAAAAAAAAATTCCAATATCAATGTGCACTGGTTTTCGGAGTTTGAAGCAAATTTATTTTCTTTAGTTTTGTTTTTATTTTCTATTTTTATCTTTACTTTTATTTTTATTTTCTATTTTTTCTTTACTTTTTGATTGTCTGCGTCCTACAATAGTGTCCTTTTCGATCATTTTATAAAATTATTTATTTTTATATACTTTATAAAATAGTTTTTAGTTAACTTAGAGTTTAAATTTATTAAATGGATCTATTTGCATCAAATTAAAACTTTAAAAGTATTTTTTACTAATGAAAATAACTAACTCATAACAAATAAATACTACTAACAAACAAATATACATGTTTAATCACATGAAACATATTAATATGTTTAAACACATCGTAATGCAAAATCCGAAATGAAGTGACTCAAGTTAATTTAAGCGTAATCGAAACGTGTAGTTTATTAGGTGCATGACATCCGATAATTTTCTCATTTTAGATAAATACATTTTATATATCATAAATGTGAGTACTTGCTAATCATGATCTATCACAAGAAAGAATTAATCTACTTGGTCTGCATTTCCAATAACCCGATGCCTTAAAATTTATTGTATGATTCGAGATTAATGGTCTGGACCAATCCAGTAAAAGGTGAAATAAAATTAACACAAAGTCAACTCATTCTTGTCAACTTGTAATTCATCCGAGATCGTATAATAATTTTTTCGAATGCCCTAAGTGATTAAGTTTGTACTGGGTCTCAATCTAGATGGACTACAATAGTGCCTGACGAGTCTTACATTCATAGTTTGAACTTTTGAACTTGTGCGAGAAAAGCGGGCCGTAGCCCAAGCCAAATTCAAAATTTTAACACCTCAGGAACATCACATTTTTAACACATGTTATACCAAATTGTAATATCCTATTAATTTTACTCCTTTTTTTTTTTTTTTTGTATATATATAAAAAAAAGTAGATAACTAGGTACACATACAAAAACCATGAAAAAAAAAATCAAAAAATCAACAAAACTATGGTATTAGAATTTGGAAACTTCTGGAACAAAATGAAATTCAATTTATTTTTTTAAAATTTTTTTTAATATGGAAATAATTGAAATCTTATAATTTTTATTATTTTGTTTCCTTAACTAAAATTCAATTACTATAATGTTTTTACTTAAAATTTTAAAAATAAGTGTGCCGTTGAATATCATACCATAAATATTAAATTATTTTTTTAATATAAGCAACGTATAACATTAAAAATATAAAATTTATATACTTTTCTTGTATTTAAGGTTATTGGGTAAGATTCCTTGTATTTTAAAGGTACCTTAAGTGGCTCCATTCTATGATCACCGTCAAATCCCCTTCTTCCTAACCCCCACTAACTCCCAACTCTCTAGCCGTAATAAATGTATATATATTGTGTTAAGAATTGATACACTATGCTACAAATTCTTACATTTTTTTTCTTACATTCTTTTAACATATTTAGCTAAGGACTCGATGAATGAATGACATGTTAAACAAATATCTAGAAAGAAGAAAATATTAAAAAATTATAATTCTAGAATAATGTAAAAAAACTATGAGGTGAAAGTGAGTTATAAAAAGTTTGCCTATGGAAAGCAACTTAAGCCTTGTAATTGAAGCAAATACTCCAGAAAAATTATTTCTTCTACTACTCCTCCTTTACAACTATCCATTCATCAATTCGAAAAACATCCAGAATATTTCCTATATATTTCTATCTTTAAAGAGAGAGAGAAAATTTCCATTTAAAAAAGAGTTTTTGGCAAAATTTTGGATAAATTCGAAATCACATTTCTACTCATGGGGAGGTAGGAACAAAATAGTCCATTAGAATTGATATTTGAAGTGTGGGTTTTTATTCCCATATTTGGCTGCTTCTATGTTCCACTTCCAAATATTCTGTTGATTTTTGTTAGTATTTTGAATGAAAATCGTAACAAATTACTTTGCCTTTCATACAAATGCATTGCTAAAGAACAAGTATCAC